CATGCGGTTGCCGTACTGTATTAAAGCTTTAGTCAGGATAAAACCGTATATTAAAAGCTAACATAAGCAGTAGCATTTACAAATAACAGCGCGTATCTAAAAGTATGAGACAACAACAAGCAAAAAACATAGGCCTACCATTAAAAGCTGTTCTTGCACAGGTTCTGCACGATCCTCTTCACTAATATCCTCTGCGTCTCAATCGGGCTCAAATTGATAAGCAATATAGACGATGTCATTGTTTACAATACAACCGGAGCACATGCCGCTATGCTGAGGGGCGGGACGTTTAGACGCGTGCTAGAGGCGGTTTAGCCAATCACAACACACTGGGCTAGCTAACCAATCAGAGCCCATCGCCTATTTCTGAGGGCGGGGCTTCATAAAAACAGGAAAAGATCAGCACGTTTCTCAGAGAAGGGACAGAGCGGTGTGGAATAAAGGTAAATTATGTGAAAAATAATGCGTTTTTAAAAAAACGAAGCATTAACACATGTTAGACTGGACCCCATAAACACAATTAAGCCTAGAAAAAAACCCAGTGAACCACCCCTTTAAACATCCCTTATCCCTTTTATTTAATGACAAGCTAATGATTCAGTCTTTAAGCCTACATACAGTGCTGCATATGTATTTCAGACAAATGATTCAAGTTTATCTTTGTTTAGCTGAAGATCCATCAGCTGTTTACAGACGTAGAGGTGGTTCCAGCTCTGCTGCATGGAGATCTCTGGGGAGGAAATGTGGCCGAATGTTCTGAAGGTCCCATCATCTTTGACCCAGCATCGTTTTATGGCCATTCAGAGTTCGAACTGGCTATTTCTGGCATGTTTGGTGGTTTTGGGAGCTCGTTTTACAATGCTTACCATGAGAAGATCCCCAAGGCCGCTGGCTTTGCAAAGAGGCAACAACTATACCAGCTGTTCCACTATCTGAACCACTGGAATCATTTTGGTGGTGGCTACAGGGGTTCTTCTCTACGGATTATGAAGGATCTAATAAAGTAGATGCACCCTGATTCATAAAGTCATCATTAATGAAGGTGGATGCATTGACAAGATGAAAAAGTCTGTTGTCTTAATATAATTTACACAGATTTAAAAAAAATCTTATATTTTTTTTTTAAGATAAAACTGTACAATTATGCTTCCAAACAATGGCCAAAAATAAGTTGATTAAAACTAGGGTGACCATACGTGCCATTTTCCCAGGACTCGTCCTGGCCAGGATTTCTATATTGCCTAAAATATCTAGGTTTTGGCTTTGTTTGCGTGTGCCGACCGATCGGTGTATGACATCAAAGTACCATACAGACGGCAATGCTTTCGAAACGCTCTCGAGGAACACACCTAATATGTACGCGTAATTGCATCGCTTTGACCGTAGATCCCACCTTCTCACACGCCATGATTGGTCCATTATGTACAATGCTTGCATGTTATTGGTCAAACTACTTTTCGATCATTACCTTCAGCAAGCATTAAAACAGGAAAACAAAGCCAAAACAAATCCTGGCCAGGACGCGTCCTGGGAAAATGGCACGTATGGTCACCCTAAAAATACATAATTCCTTTTTTTGCGAATTGCACTTTAACTTGACTACATGATATGCTCTTGAAGAGAGCCTCATTTACAAGACTGCTTGATTTAAAATGTGTGCACTAAGTATCATCATATGATGAGTTGCATTTCAAAAGTTGCTAACTGTTAATCTACTGATTATTTAAAACATCTTATTAAAAGAGCTAGTGAGCTTGTACTGTAAACTTGCAGCTTGCGGGAGTCTCATCAGATATATAAAGGATGGTTGGACATTCAAATAAAACTTTTAAAACAACTTTGTGTTGGTGTGTTTTTGATTGTAATGAAATCCTCCAATAGTTACCTCCGTGTGTTTTCTTTGGCAGGAAGCTACAAGTAAACGTTTACGAGTGAAAAAATCCTGGTAGTGTGGAAGTGGGCAATTCCATAGCCTGACCATATCAAAACGTTTGTCTCCAAATTGTGTCTAAAGAAATGGCTACTAGCTTCAAATAATATTGCCAGCCTGCTGAAAACGAATTCACAATGACCAGTAATATAGTCATCATCATTACTTTATAAATTAATGTAAAATCCCGTGATACTAAGTTTTGGTTCGGAAAATGGGTGGATGGATAGTAGTGTAAAATAAATATCTTCGTCAATGAGAGGTTTTTTTTTTTTTGGTCAATGAGAGTTTATTTATGACTGGTCATTGCGTCATCAAGCTAAGCTAAGTTTTAATACTGATGGGCCCGTTTAGTTATTGTTCCTTTTAGTATATTAACTACGACGTTGTAGTAAAAACTAAATTTTATGACGGAAAATAAGCTTTTAACATTTCCTTCACGTTGTAGAGACTCCAAACTTGAAGTAAAAAACGCGATTTTTTTTATTTATTTTGATCCTCTCTACTTGCCGTTGCCGTGCGCGACAGCGACAGTGGGATCATCATCATAATAATGCGCCGGATGCATTATACTTCTTTCACTACGGATTTATCAGATAATGTCATTTTTAAGACGACTTGTCAATCTTTTGATGAAGACAGGGAGTCGCTTTTAATGTATGTTTTGCAGTGTATTAGAGAAACTGAGAAGTGACTGGAGCTGGAGTTTGAAGAGAAATTAGTGCGTCATTGTGAGCGGTGGCGACTTCAGCTTGAATCTGTCAGATCTTCTAGTCTGAGGAGATATATCCAGCGGGATACTATTGGGTCTGAGACACTCGAAACAAACCTTAACACGCACGTTTAGCGCATTTTAATTCTGATCAGTCAGCAAGATCCCTGACATTACAGCGACAGATAATGTCGGCGATGGAGGCAGTGTGTGATGGAGAGGAGCCAGAGGTGGTCACTGAGGCGTGTTTGCTGTCCGAGTTCAGTGAGAGAGGAGAGGCTCGAGCTCTCATCAACAATCTCCCGGACATTCATCACGACACGGTCAGCAGAGAGGCCACCATCGAGAAATTTGTGGGTAAGACAGTTTGTCATGTATATGTATCTATCTGTCTGTCTGTCTGTATCTATCTGTCTATCTATCTGTCTGTCTAACTATATATCTCTTTGTCTGTCTGTATCTTTCTTTCTATCTGTCTGTCTGCATCTATCTATCTATCTATCTATCTATCTATCTGTCTGTCTGTCTGTCTATCTGTTTGTCTAACTATATATCTCTTTGTCTGTATCTTTCTTTCTATCTGTCTGACTGCATCTATCTATCTATCTATCTATCTATCTATCTGTCTGACTGC